AAAATAATAATTATAAAACTTAATTTCTAATCAAATTAATGTTAAAAAAATTAAAAAAATCAGTTAGAAAAAAGACACAAAAAAACCACTTGAGTTAATCAGCTTAATAAACATCCTGAGTTATAAGATTATGATAATTTTATAAAATAAAAAAATAATAATTATGAAGTCTAATTCCTATACCATTCATTATTAAAAGATTAAATTAAAAAAAATCAAATAAAAAAAGAACAAAAAATAATCTAATTCACCTTAAGTCAACCTACTAAATCCAAGATAGAAGATAAAAATAACTTCATAGAAAGAAAATAAAAAACCTACAATATCTAATTCTCAATTGATCTTGTGTTAAAAGATAAAATTAAAAAAAAATTAATTAAAAAATAACTATAAAAAAACCAAGTGAACCTAACTAAACTACATAACTTGCAAGTCAAGTCAAACTACATAATTTACGAATTAGATCATGAGATTATAACAACCCATAAAAAAAATAAAAAAAATATGAAATTCAATTTACAATTAATTAATTGTTGAAGGATGAGATTAAAAAAATTAAAAAATTTTAAAAAAACAATTCGAGTCAATATAATTAACTTATAAAATTTATGACCCAGATTATGAGATAAAGATAACTTTTTAAAAAGCAAATAAAAATAAACTTTGAAGTTTAGCATTTAATCAACCTAATACATAAAAATAAAATTAAAAAAAAATCTTCAAAGATTTCAAATATTAAAGTGAAAAGGAATCTGAAATTCCACTGTTAATTGTAACAGCAAAACGCCAAGCAGTAAAAATTCATTTTTTTAATTAATTAAAATATTTGAGTTAGTTTATATATATTGATTAATTTTATAAATTTTAAAATTAATAATTATATGAAATTTTAATTACTGTAAAAAAATTTCAAACTTGTTATCATTAAAAAAATTTAAAATTTTATTAATTGAGCTACCCTATTGTAAAAGTTCACTTTTTAATTCTTCAGGAAAATGTAGAGTTGAAAAGTATGTTTTAGCACGTTGTTTAACAAAACAAATTAAATAACTGAGAACCGAAAGACAAATCATGAATTCATGGTTATAACAATTGTGTAATTAATAATTGTTTGAGGTTAATATCGAACTTTGCATTTTAGTTGTGTTCCAAATTCCAATAGAAGCCCAGGATATTTTCTTTTTCTTAACTTCAAATCATAATCGTTAAATCCAATTTATCCTGAGAAGTTAACTTAAAAAATATATAATTCATAACCTGATTTTGATCCACTTTTAATTTAATTTAATTATCAATTTATTTTTAATTAATAATAATACTAATAATAATAAAAACTAAAACTAATTTTATAACCTGAGTTAACTTAAAACTAATTTATTTTTAAATAATAATAATAATAATAATAAAAACTAAAATTAATTTTATAACCTAGTTAACGTAATCATAAGAAACTTTTGTATTTTTTTAAAATATGATTCTAATTATGTTTTTAAATATTTTTTATTTAAAAAATATTAAAATAATATAATATTTATTTTTTATAAATTATTTTTAATATCAACACATTAAAATAATATAAAAATATTAAAAAAATAAATTTAAAATGAAAAATTAAAAAATATTTAATTTAATAAAAATACTTTTACACTTTTTTAAGTTAAAAAATACTCAAATAAAAAAGTCAAACCCGGTTTGATGGGAAACCTATCTTTCAAACCTGAAGGAGTCTGGAAGTGAGAGTAAAAATGTAAATAACACAAATTTCATGAAAAGCCTGAATCTGGAGTCTACTAGTTTTTCACATATAAAAAAGTGCCGTATTTTTTCATGTGGCCGGCGTGAGGAGGGAGAAACAAATAAAAGAAATGAGCTAGATCTTTATTGGATTTTTCCATCTTCCATATCTCCATTGCCATGACTAAGCCAAAGAGAAAAGATGAAATACATACATCTCTTGCCGTAACAAGAACTCGCAAATAAAAAAAAATAAAAAAAAAAAAAAAAAAAAAAAAAAAAAAAAAAAAAAAAAAAAAAAAAAAAAAAAAGAAAAAACGAAAACGTTTTCATATGCTACTCTAAAATTCATGCGCCTTTAGATGACGAAAGTGGAGATGGGGGCGGCGGCGGCGATGGCATAGGTGGCTGCGGTGTGGGAGGGGCACCAAATACGGGTGGAACGACCCACTTCCAACGACCCAATCTATTGGGTTTTGGGGGAGGTGGTGATGGAATTGCCCTCCGGGGTCTCCTTCGGAGCTGCCCCACCTTTACTTCCGTGGAGAAATGGTCGGTAGAAGCAATTTTAACCATACCCATTTGAGGCCTGCCGTCCGAGACTAAGGCCATTGCTTTGTGGCCTAAGCTTGGCTGATGGCCTAGCATCATCATAGCTAAACAAATCATCAGGAGAAGCAAGAAGCGAGAAACCTTCATTTTTATTTTATTGAATGGAGGAGGCCTAGAACGTCAAAACTTCTCCATTTAAAGGCCTGTCTGAGAATGTACTGCCTTTCACTTACCTGTGCTAGCTCCTCCAATGGCTTTAATAAAAAAATATTTTTTTAAAAAAACACGATTTAATTGGAATATTTGTGTGAAGGCTGACAATACATATTTTAAAAAACTTGATGGATCACTTATTTTTTAAGCTAAAAATAAATACTCATTAATTAGTTTTCAATATTGGACAGGCGTAAATTCACTTGTCATTTTACCAAACAACAAGAAATCAAATTTTCCACATACCAAGAATAATTTTACTATTTGATATTTAGAGTGATTACCGATCTTTATCGATGGTTTGACTAATTAACTATATTTTATTGATTTTATTAAAATTAAAATTTAATTTAACCAAACAACAAGAAATCAAATTTTCCACGTACCAAGAATAATTTAACTATTTGATATTTAGAGTGATTGCCGATCTTTATCGATGATTTGACTAATTAACTATATTTTACTGATTTTATTAAAATTAAAATTTTATTAAACTCATAAAATTTTATTAAATTTGATGGTTTGAATTTGAGAGTTCAATTAGATATAAAATAGGTTTATTGGTCTCATGGTCCTTGCAAAGATATGTCTTCTTATCTTCTTTCTCCTCTTACTTTTTTATTTTAGATAAATTGTATTTGAATTTATAAATATTTTAAATAAATTGTATTTAAACTTATAAATTTTTAAATTTATAATAATTAAGTATTTGATTTTAATTTTAATTTTAATTTAATTTATTTTAATTATTTTATACTTTGTTTAATAGATTTTATTTATGAAATATTTTTAAAATATTATTGACCCAATAAATTAAGTTTGTTATATAATTTAAAAAGTTAAAAAAAAATTACTATAAATATTATTATGTCACTATTTAATCACCCACAGTATTATTCCATCAATAATATTAAAAAATTATCAATGAAATTATATATAATCATTTTGTTAGGGATATTTTTTTTTAATCTGTAAATCTATCCATAATAATAAATATTACTGATGATAAGTTTGTAAATGAAGGATAGTCATCTTTAAGCCCGTCAGTAAATGTTGAAAACGTTGAAGACTTTCCTAGAAACAATTATAAACATGCCTGTTAATTCCTTTTTAATTTTTAATACAACTCGGGTAAGAACAAATTTTATTGATCTTTGAATACAAACTCCTTTACTTACCCATCGAACAAGTAGCAAAGTCAAGTCCTCGTATCTAATAAACTAAGAGGATTCTTATTTTATTATTATTTTTTGAAGTTTTGTCAACAATGCATGTGCTGACAAATTGTTTATTATTATTATTATTATTTAGAACTATGAGTGTTTGGTTTTAAACGAATCCAGTTCTCTTTTAATTATTTAAATTTAAGTCTGAGGAGCTAACTAAAAATGATCATTGTATTTGTAGTGTGGAAATATTGAAATAGTATTAATTCTTTTTCCTTCCCACCAAACTTATATAGATAAATATACTCCCCTTGTACACTTGCCTTTATTTATTGTTTCGAGGCTTCCAAGGAACGTGGTTATGATTATTTTTAAAATATTATTTATTTAAAAATATATTAAAATATTTTATTTTTATTTTTTAAAAATTATTTTTGATATCCATATATTAAAATAATAAAAAAATATAAAAAAATATTAATTTGAACTAAATGAAAAAATAAATTTTTATTAAAATAATAAAAAAATATAAAAAATATTAATTTGAACCAAATGAAAAAAAAATTTTAAATCTTTTTAAAAAATGTAAATAACGAATGGAGCAGAAGTGATCTTGCAAACTGTGAAACGATATTTGAAATTGAAGTTTTGCTATTAACACAATATATTACTGTTCTAGAGCTCGCGTGGTTTCTAGGATTCAAAGTACTTATTCTTGAATCAGACTTCGCAGTAGATCAGTTCATAACAAAAGATTTTATAAAACCGAATGTAAACTATACTTTGATAAGCAAAGCTAGGAAATTACTTGCTAGTGATTGGGAGGCCAACTTCACACAGACGGTTTAACAAATTATTATTTCACGTTTAATTTAAGTTTTTGGGGCGTTTCCCAGATTACAACCAAAAAAATAAAAACTTATGAAGAAAATGAATACAAATCTGAAAATATCCTCGTTAATATATTCATATTTTGGAATAATGTATTTGCTTCAAAAATGGTACCACTGTAATCCTGTTGAAATTCAATTTTGAGTTAAGTGTTTTTTTATTTCTTTATATGATCTTAAAAACACATCCTTCATATTAATTTAATTTGATGAAATTTAATAAATTAATTCCTTGTGTATTGGCTCCCAAAATTTGAACATGGTAAGTCACGAAAGAAATTATACCTTTATAACTAACTAGTAGACCAATCCATTGGAGTAAATTAAGACGATGATGTTTTAATAAATTTAAATGAGATGACGATAACTATTATTGTTCTTGCATGGATTTGAAAACTTGAATTTCCTCATGCACATAAACTGCAGGCTCTAGACCAGCAAATCGGAACAACAAATGGAGTATAAATTCAGGAAGAAAAACTAGAGGTAAATCTCAGAGGCCCCATGTTATTCAACTTAGATACAACGAAAACACTACAAAATGGGGAGGAATAAAACACAACATAAGCTGATCTCAGTGTATGACTCCAGGAGGTGAATTTGGTGGTAACCCTTGACCTGCTGACCTGCTGGCCACCGGAGGTGATTTTGGTGGTAACCCTTGACCTTTTTCCCTGCTGGCCACCGGAGGTGATACCCTGGTCGCGGCAGTGCTTCCTCTCCTCCGATAGTAAGGAGAATCACCATCTGGGATACGTCTTTGTAAGACCATTCTTGAATTCTCTATTTTGTAGAAATTATGGATGGAGATATCTCTGCCATGACAAGTCATTGCTGCGGGAGCAAAAACTGCCAAGACCAGCACAATAGCAAGAACATAGAAACGAGCTTCCATTGCTACCTAAGTTTTTATTAAACTGATGTAGTAACACCTCCTGTGTTTGTCTTCCATTTATACAAAGAATGGAGGACTTTTTGTACAAAACAAGGCATTGGTTAGCGTGGAAGTTTTTTCAAGAAAGCATATTTTTGAACATTTGAAATACTCCCCAGTCTCCTCTTGTTACAACTAATAGCAAATAAATACTGCCCTGTTGTACACTTGCTTTTATTTACTGTCTCAAGGCTTTTGAAGTCAACTTGCCAACTGTGAGAATTGTTGGAGTTGGAAGTTCAGTAGCAAGTTCGTTGCCAAGAACTTGATTTGTGACTTAGGAAGCGGAAAAAAATCTAAAAAAGCAGTCAAAATTCGAAGTTCAAACTTTGAGATGGATTTTGTGTTTGAGGATAAAAGGTTGACATTAATGGTTAGCAATTATCAGTTGATGAAGATAATCCATTCAAGGGTAACGACAACAGCTCCAAAGATAGAGAGAAAAGAGTTTGATATCCTAGCTGGTTGTGTATTCACTGTACTGTAGATAGAGTTGATCATCTTGTACTTATCTTATTGACGCAGAGAAAGTTGAGTTTAACACACATGTCTAAACCCTAAGACCAGATAAAACACAATCAAAGCTGTAAAAGTTTATAGTTTTATTTTGTAAAAGTCTCATAAAATCTAAAACAATAGGTTTAAATACCCTAAACATCGGTAAATAAATAACTATAAAACAATAAATCAAGTAAAATAATAAAGCTAAAATTAAAATTAATATGGAAAAAGTCTAAAATACTCTAAAAAAGTATAGGTTGAAAAATTAATTTTATTAGTGAACTATTGTTAAAAAAAAACGTCTCAAATCAAATCAAATGTTTAAAAAGTTTAAGGAGGAATCCTAAAAAATAATTTTATATTATTATTTTTCATTTCAGAGTGAAAACTCTTCTAGTGTAAAACCTACACAAATGTACCATTGTCTTATACAATCCAAATTAAAATAAATAAAAATATAAAATTATGAAAATAAACATCTTAATTGAGAAATTTATAATTTTGTGTGAAACCCTAATAATAATAATAATTTTATATTACTCTTAAGCAATTACCAAAATTATTCATGGTGTCACTTCTAACCTGGCTAACTACTATGAACCTTACCAGGACCGATCAATTCAACTAGGAAGTGATTAATGGGGAATGGTGGAAATGAAATTTTGATCTGTTATACTGGTGGAGATGAAGGATTCAAGTACTTCGAAATTTATGCAAGCCCTTCTTTAGGTAGTTTTCCTTAGAGAAACATACCGGAGGGATTAATTCAAAACTCTTGAGAAGCTGGAAGGTTGACCGCTGGAAAAACTAGTTTTGGAGGTTGATTAGTAAACTAGATTAATTAAAATTAAGTTTAATTACGTTAATTGAAAAACTAGTTTCAATTATTTTGCATGTAAAGTTTTACTTTGATATCCTGACACCATTTCAAAATTAGAGCATATAGAGAAGGATGATAGAGTTTGGTAAAGAGAAGAAACGAATGAAGGAGCTGTAAATAAAAATGAAAAAAAAAAGTCTAAGAGATTATTTTTTAAGGACCTATTTGTTTCGTAAAAAAAAATTTTCAATTTTTTTGTATTTATTTATTATTAAAAAAAAGTTGGTGAAAAGAAAAACAATTAATTCAAAGGAGCTACCAAAATAAATTAAGTTTTTTTTTTTCAAATCAAAGGAGTAGGGTTGTTTGGCTCTTTGTTTTATTATGACAGCTGAAATCCAACCAGAGCGGGCTTCTTTCTCTGTGTTTCTAGGTGAAGACGGAAACATAAACTATTTTGATCGATGTGTTTCTATTTTCTAAATCTCAAGAGAGGGAGAGACGAGAGGAGCGGGTCCTCCAGTGGTGGTAACTAGGGTTAGCAAATCTTCATTTTTTATTGATAGTAACTTTTTTTATTTAATTGATTAGATTCAGTTGGGGTTAAATATTTTTATATTATACAATTAAAACCGAATTGAACAAGTTTCTTTTTTAATATTCTAATTGATTTAATCATTATTTTTCGTGAAAACAAAGAAGAGGAGAGAAAAAAAAAACAAATGAAGAAAAAAGAAAAATTAAAAAGATTAGACCTCCGGAGCCACACTTTATTGGGCATTTTATAATCTTGTGATCATGCACTAACACAAATCATTTTAGTCACCATTTAAAAATGTGATGCAAACTATATTTTTAAATTTTTAAATTTTTTTATTAGATTTATTTTTTTATGTTTTTAAATTATTTTAATATGCTAATATTAAAAATAATTTTTTTAAAAATAAAAAAATATTATTTTAATAATTGTTTTTAGAAAAAAACTTTAAAAAACTACCATTATTACACCCTTACATACTATTTTAATGTCACAAATTCTCCACCTACTTGTAAAAACTGAACAATTAATGAACATAGAAGGGTAGGATCTCGCAATATACTCAAAGTCGGGGACCAATTTCACTTGATCTTTGCCTCAAATTTCATAACATTAATTGCTCTAAGTTTACTTGGTTGAGCCATAAAACCTAGCATCAATTATTGAATTTTAATACAGAACGCGCATGGAGAAGTTGGCGATTTAATGCATGTCAGAATGTTTGGAAACCGCGTTCTGACAAAATTAATTTTTTTTATTAAATATTAATGTTTTAAATTATTTTAATTTTCAAAATATTTTTTTTAAAATTAATAAAATATTATTTTAATATATTTCAACACAAAAAATACTTTAAAACATAATAAAAAATCACACTATCTCGAAATATATTCAACGACTTTTGTTGTCTTCCTCTTCATAAATACGGAGGATGCACTCCATTTCCTGTGGGGCTCAAGCATTCATCAACGTTTCCTGCAACTAATTATAATGAAAGTTGACTTCCAAAATTTTATCTATTAAATTTATATATTCACTTCCAGCCTACCTGTGCCCACAAAAAATCCTATATAAGGAAACCAATAGCCGTCGCCATAGCATAAAACTCATTACAAGTTACTACATTATAGACAGAGAATTGAAGATGGGGGCCAGCGCTACCACAACGCCGGAGTTGTATGCAATGAATGGTGGAGATGGCAGATTTGGTTACGCCAAAAACTCCTTTTTGCAGGTGATTTAGAAAATATCGGATATATTAGAAGTAATTTATTCAATGCACTTAGCATTCAGGTTTCAGGTTTAGTCACTATAGTCCATAATAAAACTATAGATTATATACCTTTGGGTATCACTAGACTATTTAATGCTTCACTTAATTGTTGATTGATCAATTTTTATGGGGTGAAACATTAATAACAAATACACATACCTACTTATTTGTGAATGATTTTTTATGTAATGTCCTTAAAAAGTATGATGTAACAGCAAAGAATTTGAGATATGCACAGAAAATTTAAATTTAAATCATGTATTTTTTATAAAAATCTGAGCGCAGTCAAAATTTTATTCATTTAACTAGACCTGTAAAATATACTTTTTAAAAATATAATTTCCTTAAATTTAAAAAAGAAGAAGGATAGATGAATTTCTATTCGAGTTCATGATCTCTATTATTAGGTCAAGAGTGTGTGCTATTTTATCATGGTATATTTTAAATCATTCACCATTAGCTATTATTAAAGAGAAATTTAAAATTATTTTTGAAATCTCTTCCAATAGTCCAAGTTTTTTGGCATGAAGCAGTTAAAAGTTTAAACTGCACAGCTAATAGTGATGGGCTTCTGAAAGTTTAAAGTTTAAAATTTTTGTATTTAATAAAGTGTATTAGAAAATAATATAAAAAAAATTATTATAATATCAGTTTTTTTTAATCAGGATGTTATTTAACAACTATAACATGTAATCTTATTTTGCTTTGAAATTTGCAGGGACATGATATAAATGCTTCAAAGGGAAAAATTGGCGAGGCAATTGCTGAGAAGCTTGACCTGAAAATTCTGCTTTCTACCTCAAAGACTATACGTATTGTAGATGCTGGATGTTCGGTTGGACCAAATACCTTCTTAGCAATACAAAATATAATAGAATCTATAGAAAGGAAGTATCAAGCACAATACCTCAACATTAATGAAAAGCCTGAATTCCAAGTATTCTTTAACGATCTAACATCAAATGATTTCAACACGCTGTTCTCCTCTCTCCCTCCCAATAGGCAATACTTTGCAGCGGGCGTGCCAGGGTCTTTCCATGGCCGATTGTTTCCTGAGGGTTCTATTCATTTTTTTTATTCTTCTATTGCACTCCATATCCTCTCCAAGGCGCCCGAAGAGATACTAGACAAGAACTCTCCATCATGGAACAAGGGGCGGATTCACTACATTAATGCCCCAGATGAAGTGGTAAATGCTTATGCTACCCAATATGCTAAGGGCATAGAGATCTTTTTAGATGCTAGAGCAAAAGAGATGGTGTCTGGAGGGATGGCAGTGATGATCTTCCCAGCCAACCCAACAGGGATCCCTTATTCCCAAACATTTACAGGGGCCATGTTTGAGCTTTTGGAGTCCAGCTTGCTGGATTTGGTAAAAGAGGTGCGTCAAATAATTAAAGTGCAAAATACATATCTTCGAAAATATCCTTTGTGATATAATATCTAAAAAAATTTATGCATTGAGTCCATCTTATGTATCGAGTCCTAGAAATTCAAGCGTTGTATTGTTTTATTTAAGAAGGAAGCTTTCCATAAAATTAGCATTGCTAGAAATTAATAAGTATATTGTCTATCCTTTTTTTACATAATATTAAGTGCCTCCATGTGATGTCTTCTCTTACAATTCTGCCATCATATTAATTATATGGGGAGCAACACAAATGACAAATATACATTTACTAATATCTGCTGCAGGGGAAGATAAGCGAAGCTCAAGTGGACTCTTTTAACTTGCCAATGTATGTACCATCTCTCGAGGAGATGATGGAGCTTGTACAGAAGAATGGATGCTTTGACATTGAAAAAATGGAGCTGACAAGTCCAGGAGTCCACGCATCAATGAGTAACGCCTCCAGCATGGGGAAGGCAATCGTGATGCACGTAAGAGCTGGCATGGAGAGAATGCTCATTCAACACTTTGGAAGTGAAATAATTGATGAATTGTTTAACCGATACGCTAAAAAATTTGAGGAGTTTCCTCACCATGTGCTGCCAAGCAAGAAAGTTCAACTTTTTGTTGTTTTGAAACGCAAGTGATGCGTTTTGCAGTCGTTGGACGCTTCCTTTAAAATTTCTGCTTTTTAATTGCTCTCAGGAATAAAGACCAGCTTGACTGATTCTCATCATGTATTAAGCACAGAAACTTGAGGGGTGTTTTACAATATCTGTGAAGGAAAAAATGATGGGTCAATCCAATTCATATTAATATTAATATTATTTATATGACTAATATAATATAAAAGAAAAATGATGAAGAGTTATATCCTGGAAATAACTTTAACTTTTCGTCTTTATAAATTTATTTATTAACATAAATAGAAAATAACCGGAAGATAAGAGAACGTATTCTGAGAAGGGACTCTTAAAAAAAAAGGTACACTTCCAACGTTGGTATTAAAGCGAGGTTGCTACATGTTCTCTGGTTTAATAACATGTTCGATCTGTTTATATAATGTTTTTAATAATTAAATGTTGTCTGAGGACCTGATATTTCTGATAGTGTGCAAGATTTTTCTGTTAAATTGCAATCCTTAGCTTCCTGCAATTTCATTTTTATTTGCCAACTGCCAAGATAAAATTGTCTGTGTTGTGCATGTATGTTACGTGTCTGTGTTATATGCACACATCTTTAATGACGGACTCCATACCGACACAAGAGGGTGGTTGAATGGTGTGTTGCATGTCTCTTTCAAGACAGGTTTGAACCTATGTTACAAAGATGCGAACTCATTCCATGAGATAAACTTTAACAATTCCTTACCATTGGACTATATAAATTTTTTTATGCCGACGTAAAATAACAATACATTTGTAGAAATTGAGAACCAAAAACACAGGTTGTGTGACCTACGAAGTCTGATGCCGCCAGGCTTATGTGTTGTTTTGGATAAAAGTGTGAACACAATTTATCTTAATTGCACTTTGCTTCTGCCAGTTCAAACTTGAATCAAAATATTATAGAAGCAAAAGTGCAATAACCATGATTCGATAGAGGCCAACCCAGGTTTTAAGAGGAGAGAACTCAGGGTAAGATATATCATATAATTCAGGAGAATATAAGAGTTGCACCAGATGTTATGACAGGTATATTATAGTCAGAATCTAAGCAAGTTTATGCTTTGTTTGATATAAGAGCAAGCCATTCTTTTGTATCGCATCAGATTGTGAATCACTTGTATATGTTGCCTAGGAGAACAACTATGGGAGTAATTGATATTACGCCTCTATAAGAAAATGTTGATATCAATGATGTATATAGAGGGGTTAGACTATAGATAACGGGTCACAAGTTAAGGGTGGACTTAATGCCTTTAAGGTTAAGAAAGATCAACAGAGCTTTAAATATTTATTAGAGCAGTGGATTGAAACACCCACACATCAGAAATAGTTATTGGGTTGGAATACCCACACATCAGAAATAGTTATCCAAATTGATTGAATATGACTCTGTGGTTGAGTTTCGAGCAGGATGGGAGAACTTAGTAGCTGATGACCTCTTTAGACAAGAGAATACTATGTTAGAGTATATTACTTTAGATTGTAGCACTTGTCATAATCATAATATAACAGGCAGTTAGTTTGTTAGTTGAAAGTTGTTAGTTTGTTAACTACAACTATATAAGCAATTATCTTGTGTGAATAAAGTTAGGTTGAAAAAACACAAGGAATTCATTTAGTCTCTTCACTTCTTTCTATTTTCTCTCTATCTGATTACAGTAATATACAAGCTTGTAGTCTCTGTTTTATAAAGATTAACATGGTATCAGAGCTCATTGTTGCTCATGCTTGAAATTCTTGATCCTCTGTTGCTTCCGCTTTCTCTGTTACTTCTACTTCAATTCTGTTCTTGCTCTGCAGTTCTGCTTACATTTGAAGTTTCTAGTGCTTCGTGTTAATCTTCATTTCTTGATTGGTAATTTTTCTGAATTGTGCACAATAAGTGTTTGGTATATTGTCTCAATCACAGATTAATCCAAGAATCACGATGGTGACTGCTTCACAACTTCAACTACTTCAATCTCCAATTATAGCCCTTATTCCCTCTATTTCTACATCAATTAATGTCAAACTTGATGATTCGAACTACCTCAATCGAAACTTTCAGCTACAACTATTGCTTGAAAGCAATGGAATTATGGGGTATGTTGATGGTTTGCTCCCTTGTCCACCTCAACATGACTCATACTCTGATGAATCTGGTATTACTTCTTCTTCCCCTACTAATGAGTATATAGTATGGAAGATGCATGACCGAGCTATTATGCAATTGATCACTGCCACATTATCACCTATTGTTATGTCCTGTGCAATTGGTAGTATAAGTTCTAAGGATTTGTGGACTAAGTTGAAGGAACAATTCTCTACTGTATCTAGGACTAGCATTTTTCAGATGAAATCCAATCTGCAAACAATTAAAAAGGGGTCAGATTCAATTTCACAGTACCTTCATCAAATTAAAGAGGCTAGGGACTACCTTTCTGCTGCTGGTTTCTTCTTTGCAGATGAAGATATTGTTATTCTTGCTTTGAATGGTCTACCTGCTGAATGTAACACCTTCAGATGTGTTATTAGAGGGCGTGAAAGTGTGATCTCATTAAAAGACTTTAGATCGCAGTTACTTGCAGAAGAAGTGATTGTTGACACTTCAGTTCATAATCCTCTTATAACAGCTATGGCTGCCAATACAGGTTCCACACGAGGGGCTCCTTTTCAATCACAAAGTTTCTCTGTAAATCATGGTCAATCTCAAGTGAATAATAGAGGCTTTCAATCCTATAATGGGAATAAGAACAGGGGTAGAGGCCGCTTCACTCAGGGATCTAGATTTTATGCTTCTAGACCAGCATTTTCTCCCCTGCCACACGTGTTTCCCAACTCTAATTCAGGAATTCTTGGTTCATCTCCTAGTCAGCAATTTTGAACTGCTCCTGCATCAATGCTTCCAATTTGTCAATTATGCAACTTTGAGGGCCACACTGCCCCATTTTGTGGAAATTCGTCTCCTCAACATACAAAATGTCACATTTGTGGAAGAAGTAATCATTCCACCTGGTATTGCTTCTATAATGATAAGGGTCCTAATTACATTGGGGTGCACACCAATGCTTCTTATTCTCCACAGCCTTATTATCATTTGCCACCACAGAACTTGCAGTATAATTCGTCTCCAGCTCCTTCTCAACATGTATCAGTCACATCAGCACAACACAGAGCAACCCAACAACCCCATATGCAAGCCATGCACACGGGGCTTAACTCTGCCTCTCCATCCTCATGTTTTTCAGGTTCTTCACAAGTGTGGCTGATCGATGACAACTGATTTGGGCAATCTGTCGCTGGCCTCACCATATCCAACAAATGACATGATTCATACTGCCAATGGTGAAGGTTTGACAGTGTCTCATATTAGTCATTCTACCATTACTTCATCACTTTCTCCAATTAAATTGAATTATGTGCTTTGTGTTCCTCAACTCACTCAGAATCTCTTGTCAGTCCATCGACTTTGCCTTGACAATAATTGTTGGCTTATATTTGATGCCTTCTGTTTTTGGATTCAGGACAAAGTCACAGGGAAGATCATTTACAGGGGGTTGTGCAGTAATGGATTGTATCCTATCCACTCCTTCTCACTTTCAAATTCCCAGCAGCCATATCCAGCTTAGGTTTTCTTGGTCAACTTGTTCAGTCCAATCTGTTGCATCATAGGTTATGTCATCCTACAAATAACATTGTCTCTATGATGTTACATAAAGCTAATATGCATGTTCCCAAAACTACCTCACCTATAATGTGTCATGCATGTCTTGAAGGGAAATTTAGTAAACTACATTTTCCACAGCATGTCAGTAAGTTTGTAATTCCTTTCAAAACTATACATACTGATTTATGGGGTCCTGCACCTTGTATATTGGTTGATGGTTATCGATACTACACAATCTTTGTTAATGAATGTACCAGATATTGCTGGATTTTTCCTTTAGTAAACAAGTCAGATTTGTTCTCTACCTTTGTTATGTTTTATTCCGTTATTGTTAATCAATTTACATCCACCATTAAAACTCTTCAAACTGATGGGGGAGGGGGAATATAACAGCACTAGATTGAAGAATTTTCTCCTTAATAGGGGCATTTCTCATCACCTTTCATGTCCATATACTCCTGAACAAAATGGGGTAGCTAGAGGAAATATAAACATATCATTGAAACCACTATCACCTTGTTACAAATAGCCAAATTACCATCTCAGTTTTTGTCCTATGCTTGTCAAACAACTACATATCTAATCAATCGTATGCCTACTGCTGTTCTTCATCATAGCTCCCCTTTTGAGATGTTATTCGGCTCATCTCCAAGTCTTACTCATCTTTGAATTTTTGGATGTGCTTGTTTTCCTCTCCTCAAACCTTATAATAGCACCAAATTGCAGGCTAAAACTACAAAATATGTGTTTCATGGATATGCCACAAATTATAAAGGCTATTTGTGTTATCATGTACATATAATGAGATTGTTTATCTCTAGGCATGTTATATTTGATGAACAACAGGTTCTATATCCAGATTTATTGTCTACACAATCAAACACACTAACATCACCATCACCTTGCCAGCCTTCCACTTGTCCTGTGCCTATAATAACTCCAGAAAATGTAATTATCCCAACCATCCCAGCTTCTCCATCTCCTCCTTCACATACCCATACACTTGTCTTTTTTGTCGTCTCTGCTCATTCCTAGTCCATTGCTGCTCCACTCCAAGCCTCTCCTCTGTTTCCTGTGGCACCTAATATCAGCGTTACTTTTAGTTCAGAATCTCATTGTTTTATTCCTGATAATTTACAAGTGGTCTTGTTTATTCCTCCCCTCAATTTACATCCAATACAGACTAGAAGCAAGAGTGGGATTCTTAGGAAGAAGGCATTTTCAGCTAGGTTTCAGGACTTAGGAGGTGTTGATATGTCCTTGGTTGAACCACCTAGTTACAAGTCTGCTGTCAAAATTCCCATGTGGTTACAAGCCATGAAAGAAGAAATGAATGCTTTACATGCTCAAAGCACTTGGAGTCTAGTTTCATTGCCAGTAAACAAGAATCTGATGGGCTGTAAATGGATTTTTAAGGTCAAGAGACATTCTGATGGCTCTATTGCTAGACATAAAGCAAGGTTGGTTGCTAAAGGTTTCAGTCAAGAACCTGGATTAACCTGGATTGGACAATGGGAAGACGTTTAGTCCTGTTGTGAAACCTACAACTGTCAGGTTAGTTCTTGCACTTGCTGCACATTTCAATTTGTCTTTGCAATAATTAGATGTTAAAAATGCTTTTTTGCATGGCATTCTTCAAGAAAAGGTTTATATGTCTCAGCCTCCTGGTTTTGAAGATTTCAATCATCCTCATCTCGTGTGTAAGTTGCATAAATCTCTCTATGGAATTAAACAAGATCTCTCTATGGAATTAAACAAGCGACTAGGGCTTGGAATGATCGGTTTACTTAGTTTCTTTCTTCTGTGGGGTTTGAAACCACTTACTCCGATTCATCTTTGTTTGTCAAACATGTTGGTCCTGTGATTGTGATACTGCTTCTCTATGTGGATGATATTATTATCATTGGGAGTGCGTCTGGTGCAATTCAACAAGTTATTAGTGCTCTTACTACTGAATTTGATATCAAAGATTTAGGATTCCTCCACTATTTTTTAGGGATCCAGATTACTCGAACTGCCACCGGTTTGTTTCTTTCACAGATTAAATATATTGAGGATTTGCTGACTAAATCTAAAATGGTTGTAGCTAAACCTTGTGATACTCCATCTCTCCATTACCATCGGCTACTCAAAGAGGATGGGGAACCTTACTCAAATTCTATATTGTTTAGAAGCATTGTCGGGGCTCTAGAGTACTTAACTTTCACAAGGCCTGACGTTGCTTTTTCTGTGCATCAAGTATGTCAGTTTATGCAGAATCCCATGGTCTCATTTTACTTCTGTTAAACGTATACTGCGATACCTTAAGGGTACTATGCAGCTTGGTCTATCCTATACTTGAGGTGATTTGCAGTTAAAAGCCTTTAGTGATGCTGATTGGGCAGAGGACCCTAATGACAAGCGGTCTACAACTAGTTTCGTGGTCCTTTAAAAAGCAACAAACTGTTTCTCGATCTTCGACTGAAGCTGAGTATCGTGCTTTATCATTCACCTCCGCTGAATTGGATTGGATAAAACAGTTGTTAGCATTTCTATGAATTTCACTACCTGGTGTGCCTGTTCTTTTTTGTGACAATCTGTCAGCCATTGCCTTGTCTTTCAATCCTGTTCAGCATCAAAAGACTGAGCACATCGAAGTGGATGTGCATTTTGTTCGTGAAAGGGTTTCATGCAACCAGCTTTTAGTGCAGTTTGTGTCCTCTCAAGAACAGTTTGCTGATATTCTTACCAAGGGGTTGAGTGCTCCTCTATTTCGCACCCATTGTTGCAATCTCATGTTTGGTTTCTCCAAGTCTGATCTTGAGGGGGATGTTAGAGTATATTAATTTAGATTGTGACACTTGTCATAATCATAATATAACAGACAGTTAGTTTGTTAGCTGAAGGTTGTTAGTTTGTTAACTATAACTATATAAACAATTATCTCGTGTGATTGAAGTCAGGTTGAAAAAACAAAAGGAATTCACTTAGTCTCTTCACTTCTTTCTATTTTCTCTCCATTTGATTACAGTAATATACAAGCTTGTAGTCTCTGTTTTATAAAGATCAACATACTACAGAAAAAGATATACTATGGGCTATCTCTACCCCAATTGTTAACTAAGCTGATCAATTAAAATATAGTTATAAAACTGATCCAGAAATTCAAGCTATTATGCAGCAACTAGACCAAGAAACCATAGGTTCCTTGAAATATCATCTTAGGAGAGGGATACTATACTACAAATAGAGACTTTACATAAGTCAATCCAGCCCTATAACAATTGCCATCCTGAATTATATTCATGATAGCCAATTCTCAGGGCACATGGGTTTTAAGAGAACACTAAAAAGGGCAACGAGAGATTTTTTTTGGGCAGCAATGAAGTTAGATATACAGACATATATAAAACATTATGAAGTATGTCAGAGAGTAAAAGGAGAAAACACAAAACCTTCAAGGCTCTTATAGCCATAACCTATACTCACCAGATCATGGTCATCCATATCTAAGGATTTTATAAAGAGGCTACTAAAATCTAATCAATACTCAATAATTATGGTAGTTGTGGATAGGTTTACTAAATATACCCATTTTATTCTTGTATTCCACCTCTACAGTGCGACAAAAATTGCCAATCTGTTCTCACAGAATGTAATGAAACTGCATGGACTCCCAGGAATATAGTATCAGACAAGGGTCGTACCTTCACTAGTAAGTTTTTAGGATTCCAAATTCAAAGGGTTAAGTTGCTGATGTCAACAGCATACCACCCTCAAACCGACGGCCAGACAGAGGCAACCGACAAAACACTAGAAGGGTATTTGAGATGCTATGTAGGTGATAACCCGAAGGGTTGGTCTAATTGGCTGACAATGGCTGAATACTATTACAATACCAACTACCACACATCCCTCAAATCCACCCCGTTTGAAGCAACCTATAGCTACCCACCCCCAAACCTCACAGATTATATTCCTGGTTTTAAAAAAATCTAGTAGAGGAACAATTACAACACAGGATAAAACAGATTGCAGAAATCAAACACATCTTAGCTCAAACACAGGAGAGACAAAAGAAACAAGCAGATAAAGGCAAAAAAGAAACTCAGTTCAAAGAAGGAGAATGGATTTACCTCCGGCTCCAGCCATTCAAACAGTCCAACATGCCAAGAAACAAAAATGGGAAATTAGAATATAAATATTTCGGGTCATTCAAAGTCTTAAAAAGGGTAGGAGAATTGGCTTACCAGCTAGATCTTCCCAAGAAAGCTCAAATCCACAGCACATTCCATGTCTCACTGCTGAAGAAATGGGTTGGAAAAGGAACCATTCTTGAACCCAAGCTACCCATTCTTGAACCCAAGCTGAAATCACAGCTAGAACCCGTAGAAATACTTGACTGAAGAAGTCAAGTCTTAAGGAGGAAGACAAGGGAAGAGGTGTTGTTAAGATGGGAAGAACAACCTAAAAAAGACGCCATATGGGTCGAAGAAGAATGGTTAAAAGGTTCTTACGCTCACCTTGAGGGCAAGGTTTTTTAAGGGGGAGAGAGTTGTAACAGTTCGTCAGCACATCACGATCCAATTCTCACTGAGGCCGGGGAGACAAGAGGGAGGCGTGCTAGAGAAGACTTACCTACAACAAAGGGATAAGGTGAGCACATGTATGGTCAAGATTGGACAAGAATTACTAACGTGGAAGATTGAGATAATGAAGCTCCTATGGCTGACAGATGGCAAGGGGATTGAGTTTAAAGGCAAACAACACTGGTTTAAGATAGGAGATAGAGTCCAAATACAAATCAGATGGATAATACAGTTGGCAAAGCATATCAGTTACTCTAAATTCTCAACTAACCAAGAATAACAATAAAAGGGGGAGGAAGGGCTGCAAAGAGGCAGGAAATTACTTTGAAGCAAATCTCATTCATCTAGGAGGCTCGGGCTACCTTGAAGCTGCCCAGAAACTTAGTTATGGTGTATCAAATTTGCATTGTTCTTTTAATTTTGTTTCTTTAAATATATATCTTTAGTTGTTATTTCAAATTTCCCAACTTTTACCTATAAGCTCAGCATCAAGAAAAGCTATGATAAAACTTCTAGTATCTTTCTCATAATTAAACAACCAAGACCATTACATCATGGCTTGTAGTTTTACTTCGGCCCATGCATGAGTTGGCTTGAAACACTAAAACCTTCTGTTTCTTCCGAGGCTAAAGTAGCCAACAGCAAGGTCGTACAATCAAGAGTATTTTTATGCTTTTCAAAACCTATAATTTCAGGAAACAAGGACAGTGGATGTACAGGCATGTTTGTTGCAGCATTGGGATTTCAACGTCATGAACATCAGCTTTCCAGGGATGAGGATGGTCAGAGGGGATAGCCTTGTCATCGTTTACAGTTTGTGTATCTTCATCTTCAGATTCTGAGTTTAAAGTTGTATCCTTGGAATGCTTAGTAGATGATAAACATGGACAAAGGGATGGATTTATCTCTGATATCGTAATATCTAGCTCCTAACCTTCAATCTCTAACTTAAATGTATCATTCGGTGGAGCGAGAGAGGTTGTACCAAGTAAAACTCAAACTTCAAAAACTGAGTTGTGGCTAATACTACTAAGATCATACTCAATAATCTTTCCCTGATTTTGTTAAGACAGAGCTGATGCAGTCCTTGTTCCATGCTGCTGAAGGTAGACAAGAGATATTAACCCAAGCAATCCTGTCTGATGCCGTGTCAGTACAATTCCATCTCTCTAAGCTTTTCAAAAATGGTTTTCCAATCCAAAAACTCTGATTGTAACGCATCTATCATAGCTTCATGTGTGTTGAAGGTTATGACTGCCTGAGTTGCATCCCAAAATCTAAAACGAATCAAGTTTTTCCCGTTTCAAGTAGCTTAGATTCGATGTCAGTATAATCCACATTAGGAGGGATAACACCCACCAGACTTCTTTTCAACCAATTCGACATCTTTAAATTGTCAGATTACAAAAATTATAGTTATGGATTTCCTAACTCATTAGTTCTCATAATTCAAATCAAATAACAATCATTGGCCAGCTTGAGGAATTGGGTCCCTTGGAGCAAGTTATTATTTAAATTATTTTGTTCCGTCTGGAATCTGAAAGTTTTGTGAGGATAGGAAGTAATATCTTATTACTTAAACTCAATGTGAGGAAATTATTGGCTAATTTCCAGAAAACAATCCATTATCATAGTATTAGTACAATCACTATTAACCTAAACTACGTAATGAAGTTTATTACGACAATCACTTTTGGTAACTTTCTTGTCGCCGGAAAACCATTAACCACTGGTTTATGTCCTCTAAGACTCCATTATTGGACCATTTATTCTCTCAAACATTTCTTAAATCATCTCCACAACAATACAAACCCATTTTAATAAACTTCAAATACAATTCAAGAACAACAATCTTGCTATAAATTAAATTGAAAGTGAGGAAGATCCGTTGAATTGAACCCTTTTTTGGATGAAATTCTCTTGATTGATTGTTATTTTGATTCACATAGTCAATGGGAGTTTTAAGATGTATAACTTCATTATTTTATGGGATTAGATGTTCATGGTGATCTTTATGGAAAAGTGAGGTTTCTTTTGTATTGGTCAAGCGGTAGGATATTGAAGATGGAATATAATTAGTTGTCATTGCAGACCTTCAACTGTTTAAATTCTAAGACCAACTCCTTAACTTGTGACGGATGACCGCAATTGTAGACCTCTTAATACATTGAAGGGTTGATATCGTATATGCAACTCAAGAATAGCACATTGTTGATTTAGAAGGACAAATGCAAATTGCTATTTACACGAGTCTTGATTTTTAATTCAGATGTACAGGAAGACAAACAGTATCAATCAAGAAAACTAATTCAGGATTCACAAATTAGTTGTGACATTAAAATTATAATCCACTGCATAGGTCCAGTATCGGACCCATTTATTATTTGACCCGTAGATCCCATTTCATATATCAAATGCGAGCAGAATCACGGTGATCATTCTTTCTGGATTAGGATATTTACGAATAGTATAGAAAGAAAAGACAAGGAATGAGATTAGTTATCATCTAATATTTTAACTATTAAAAACCTTAATCCTCTCGGGGTTTAGGTAAAAAAATTGATTGTATAAAAAAATATATATCAACATTCCTAATACATTTTACTTTAGATGAATTATATTGTTTATTTATCTATTATAAATTAAAATATTTTTTTTTTTAATTGTTGGTCTATCTAAAATTAAAAAAAAAATTCTTTACAATAAAAAGATCCTTATTTTATTATGTTAAAAATTTAACAGTTCTATCTTTTTATTTAATATCAGAAATATATTTGACATATAAATTCATAATCTCAGATACTAATAGAAAACAAAATAAATTTTTTGATGTTTTTGAATTTAATATAGAAAATATGTTTTATGTATAAGTTTGTAATCTCACATAGGAAAAAAAATATTTTTTGTTTTTTTATAATATATGTCAAGTTCTTTGGCTTTAATAACTAGTTATTAAATACAAAAATACATGAAAAATAAAAGACTATTTTTTGTGATTTTTTTAGTATGATAAAACATGCGGATATAATCTATTTTTTTAACCATATGCAATTTAAATAATAAGAAAATAGTATTTATTAAAAGAAAGATTTTTTGTTTTTATTTTTATGGAAGGGAACTGATTCATTTAATATCGAAAAAACATCTCACGTATAGGTTACAATTTTAAATATTAAAAACTAGAAGGGAATAAAGGTAGGGAAATCACAATTGAATGCAAAATTATGTTATGAACATTGAAAATAATTAAAAATTGATGAATGATATATTTGGCAAGACATAAATAAAAAGTTTTTATTAAGGATATTTTAATAATGATATCAATTCAAAACAAATTATCATTCACATATTTGCCTTTTTTTTCTCTTCTGGTTTCACTTTCTTCTTTATCTTCTCCTTTACAAGTGGCTACCAATTTTGTTGTAAAAAAAATCCTTTATTTTGATAGTTATGGTCTGCTATGAGCAAGAGAACTATTGGTTGAAGTTTTGTTGCTACTACCAATATGGCTGGAAGAGAAGAGTGGTTGAGGTTATAATGGAGGCTGTTGTCATGGCCAAGATGGCTGGATCTTTGATGGAAAAAGAACTCTATGGTCTGTAAGAGTTTAGGTAAAGGATTAGTTGTACAAAGAAAGACGTATCACCTCTAGTATATCCTATCTAAAGTAAGTTGCATTATTGTTTGATTGTTTTTTGGATCATGTTTCTATTTTTTTGATCTTTTTCTATGGTCCAAGACAAATCACCCTTCGTGAAAGAAGCCTTTATGTTATTAGGTTAAAACCTAATTGTTCTAAGGTTCAAATTTAAGCATCCCATTTATTTATTTATTGTATCTTTAATATCTGAGAGTATATTCTACAATGTAGTTTTATATCTCCAAATACTTTAAATATAAAGTGAATAAAATGATTGGTGAAAAGTTTTTGATATTTTGACCAAACCCTAACAGATAATTATAAATTGGTTACGATATTTATTTTTCATATTAAAACAAAATAAATATGTGATTTTATCTTTTTGGAAAATATGCATGAAAAACCTTTAGAATATGATCGTATGCACAAAAAGAAAATATTTTTGGAAACAAATTGATTTTTTTTTAAATTTCAAAGAAAAACAAGTATTTTGTATCTTGTTTGTATCTTACAGTATAAGTATATGGCCCAATATTGAACAAAATTAGTAAAAAAATATGCAAAAAAGTCATAATTTTTTTGGAAGGACCCTTAGAAATTTTTAAGAATTTTTTTTGTTATATATATATATTATTATATTATAATTATAATTGTATAATATTATATTATTATTATTATTATATGAGTTGGACCCGACCCAACTGGATTGTGTTAGGCCAATAGGTAGCCCAACATACCTAGCCTCTCTTTTGAAAAAACAAATGTTTAGGGTTAGGTTAGGCCTGACTTAAATATGTTTTTTAGGTATTTTCAAGGTATAAAAACATCTAATCTCAACCCTCCATCATCATATGAAAAATTTAAATAAAAAAATAGATTGTTTTGATAGCGTAAATCTTTTCCAACAATAATTTTCTCGTTTTGAGCTTAAATCTAGTAACCTTCTTTTTCTCCTCCTACCAAAAAAGGACTAAAAAAATAAAGTTCAGTATCAAAATATATATTTTTAAAAAATTACAAAAACCAATCACCTAATAGCTAAAAAAGATGGGGGATAAAAATAAACTTTTGAAACAAATTTCAAAATTGACACTTATATTACCCGTGTTTTTCACTACAGTCTCTTTTCTTTCAATTCAACTCTTCTCTAAACAAAAAACATGCAATTAGGTGTTAATTTTGGTTCAAAAGTGCTCAATTGTGAAAAGAAAAAGGCTTCAGGACTAAAATGAAAATTAAAAAATACACTATTACAATCCATAGTGTATTGTGAGAGGGTGAACAGTAAAAATAGATACAGTAAAAAAACTACATGCTTTATATGTTTTTATAAATTTAGGACTCTTGATTTATGGTTTTTTGAAGCCATTCCTTTGTTGTTCTAAATGCAATTTGGTTGCATCACTAATTTTGTTTTAAATTGCTAAGGGTTTGTTGTGTTTTCTCATTGAAAGTTTGCATATAATATTGCTGACTCTGGTGTTAATGAATATTCAACTATGAATATTTTCAACTCTAGTGTTAGTAAATATTACGTAGCGAAAAACATATGGCATTTCTGGCTCTAAGACAGTGAATAAAACACTAAAATGAATCTAAAACAAAGCAAGCATATTTTTATCTTTTTTTTTAAAAAAAAAAATATATTAAATATCATATTTGTATTTCATAATAAGAATTCACATATCAACCCTAACAAAATAAGATAATAAGATAGGCTTACAAATAAATTTAAAAGTATCCACAATTTTTTTTTTGAAATTTTCTAATATTAAAAAGTGACTCGTTTTGACTAAATATTAAAATAAAGGGAATTGGGCTAGCTGGGTCTGAAACCCAGACCCAATTGTTTTTTGAGCTGGGTCTAACCCAGTCCATACAGGCCAGGCCAGGCTGAGCTGGGCTGGGCTGGACCGGTTTCTATTACAGCCACAGGTAATTATATTTGCAAGTGCAGAGGGTTGGTGTATTATCTTGCAAAGCGGGAGAAACTTATTACCTGGAAGCTGGACGAAGGCGATGGAGAACGAATGGGTATCTTTGGCTGGACGATGTCTTCTCCCTCCTCGTTTCCAGCCTGTCTGTTGCCCCTTTTTTTTTAATCTCTTTCTCTCTGTTCTCCCTCTATCCTCTGGTCTCTCTGTTTTTCGTTCACTCTGTTTTTTTTTTTTTTTTATGTTTTTTCCGTTCTCTCTATTCTTCTCTGGATTTAGCTCCCTCCAGTATTCCTCTGTTCGTTCGTTTGTTCTCCCTGCGGGTTCCATCCCCTCGGTTTTTCTCCCCCCCGTTCGTTCGGGTTCCTTTTCCTCCGGGGTTTTCGTCTGTTTTCTGCTTTTTCGCCCCCCTCTCCTCTACTTTTTTACTTTCCTTTTGTGTTTGTATTTCTCTGCTCAGTTTCCTCTGTGT